GTTTTATCAGCATATAATTTACATATCATACAATTGAGTATTTCAATTGTATGTAGTTCAATTGTATGTAGTTCATATCAAGGGGAATTATGTAATTACCACCACATCTATCTTAGAACACCCCTCCCCCCTTAAATCACCTTCAAAATGAGGTGTGCAATTACGATCAGTTCTATTGCCCCCTCCCCGCTTCTGCCTTCAACTTCATTATTTACCCCAGAAATTCCCTTTCCCTCTCTATCCCCCAGCCCTACCGCTGCATGCTCAATAACACCTGTCTCAGTTATTATTATTTTACATCCACTTCTGTGCATCACAGCAGGGAAACCCAACAGAAAACAATCAAAACCAAATAGCACTAAGGTGGTAAGGATATGATCATATTAAGAATAAGGATAAGATCGTAAGCATCATAAGGATAAGATCAAGTATAAAGACAAAAATAGAAATAACATGTGAGAGGAAGAAGATTCCATCAACATTCAAAAAGTCAGGGAAGAAATTTCTGCTTGAACTACTAAGAGATACATCCAGAACAAATTTACGTGTGTTTATATAGGGAGGTCAACTGGCTAAGTATACTGTTTAACACAACATAATCAAGATTACAGTGGTCTCTGCCTGATAGTAAGGCTGATTGGGACTCTTGCTTTTGGCTGGAGGCGATCTGCCAGAGGGTTGTTCTCACTAGATAATCTGCAAATGGAATTTGGGCTCCCACAGTCCTCCATAGCCCGGCACCATCTGTTTTCTTCACCACACTTTGCTGTAGCATGCTTATCTTCAGTGATCATTTGATGAAGGTGAGTATCAAACAGGACCATGAAATAAGAGCTAATTTTTCTTAAATTGGAGCTAAGATTTAGTGCGAGCCCAGAACTTATTCCCGAATTCATAATTTAAAGTACTTCTTGATATAAAGTTCTTTCTTATGTATTTAGGAGTGCACTGCTTTAGTTTTCCAGACAACTCAGCCTAACGCTGGAGGTTTTCTATTCCCATAAAGAGTTACAGTCTTGGAAATCCAAAGGGATGTTCTGCCCTGTCGTATAGGGTTGCTATGAGTTGAAATTGACTCCATGCAGTGAGTTTTGTGTTTTGATAAAAGAAATTAGGATCCTTGGTGGTGTAGTGATTAAGAGCTTCACTACTAACTATAATGTTGGCAGTTGTAACCCACCAGTATCTCCAGGAGAGGCAGAAGTGACAATCTACTTCCATAAAGTTTTATATTATTAGAAGTCATATGATGCTGTTTGTGGTAATTGTATAATCATTTGTCAATTTGAGAGGATTAAAGTGAAGGGGTGGAATCCAGCCTGTCAATCAGGTCATAGACAATGAGGTCTCTGTGTGGGCATGACCTTCTCCTGATGATTCTGGGAACTCCTGAATTCCTCCCTGGAGGCTGGAGACACTCTCTCTCAGCTCACTTCATGCGAGAGATTTTTGAAGAGAAGCCACATGAAGGTACTCTGACACAGCCAGAGACCTCATAGCTAGAGAAGCCAGTGCTGAGATGCTTACACCACCACTGGATCACAAGACTGCTCACCCACTATCCTATGATCTTCCTACATTTGGCATCATTGCATGTGTTCCATGAGTCTGATGAGGACTTTATAGATTGGTATCAGACATATGGGCTAATATGGGACTTATGGACTTCATCTGGACCAGGCTGGGGTGTGGGGGAGGTCAGATGCACAGGCATTCCCCCCCTGAGGGCCAACAGCTGCCCTGACTGCAGAGGGCCCCACTCCCTGCTGCTTGGGACGATGGACAGGCTCCTGTAGGCGGAGTTCACATCCTACTGATAATGATCTCTATCAGTTGGGCCAGGAACAAGCCAAACCCTGTTGTTAAACTGCCATCCTAAATCTAGGATCCACCCATCATGTCACACGTATACTCCTAATCCCTCCTCTTCCTATTGCGTGTATGTCCCTAGACCACCCCCTTATTACTGTGTAACCTATAGTGCAAACCCTTCCTGTAATTAATGGGCTTGCATCCACCAAAGGTTTATAGGCCTGGGCTAACAATAGAGCTCTCCCTCTGGCCTCTCTGCTGGCCTCTCGCTGGTCATTGCTTCCCTCTGTCCTCTCCCACCTCTCTCCCTTGTTCCCTTTCCCGTCCTCCTTCCCTTCCCCCTCTCCACGTGGACCACCACGCTGAGCTGAGGTGAACAATGCTACCATGTAATGTGTCTGACTGCATTAATGTAATATCTCTCCTCTACCTCTCATGCTCTCAATGACTTTAATATAATACTTACATACCTCAACCATACAATTGTGCATTACTGAACCCGTGGGTAGTAGTGGCTGGCCCCCCACCCCGATAACTTAATACTACACTGGGGTGTTTTCTCAATATTCAATTGCTCTTGTATATAAAGCTCTTTCTTATACACATATGCATTCTTGTGAATTTGATTCTCTAGTCAACCCAGACTAACACACTGTTCAACTCTATCCTATTGGGTAGCTATGAGTCAGAATTGACTCCAAGCCAATGGATTTGATTAGGCTATTAAAAATTATAATGGAAAAAAAATAAAAAGATATACTTTTTTATCAAAGTACTTTTTCTTGCTGTTATTTCTTAAATATTTTGATTATTAAAATGGAAGCCATTAACTCTCCACACATTTAGAATAAAATAAGTAATTTTATATACATTTTGATGAAATGAAATGCCAGTTTAAATATTTGTGTCATGATAAATGGATGCTAACTATTATTTCAGTAGTTTGAAATCACTAGCTGCTCTATGGGACAAATATTGACAAATCCAATAAATGTTTACAGTTTGGAAACTCACAGGGGCAATTCTTCCCTGCGCAACAGTATAACTGAGTTGAAATTGATTTAATTTCAGTGAGCTTTAGGTTTAGGTCAAGATAATGCTAAATTTGGGGTAAATAAGTTATTTTATAACCTCTTTAAACAGGAGGACATATTTTATTTGACCAAACATAAGTGGAAGCAAAAATGATGCATTTGAGCGCTAAGATAATTACACAGATAAATGTCATTAGAATAAAATTCTATTTTTGATAAGAATTAGAACTCTATAAAATAGAAAAATTTGATAAAATAATTTTAATTTAGATCAGAGAATTAATTTAAACAAAAGCAACATTTTAGAAGTTTTAATTTGGGGAGGATTTTTATATATTATTTCATGTATATAAACATATAAAACATAATTGGAATTTAGTACTATAGAAGTAATTTGGTATAGTCATGGATTTTTAAAGATAGTATTTTTTAAATTTGCTATTGTTAACTTCATTACAGCTATTACATCTTGAATTTTAAAATAACAATTACCTT